AGGGGTGAGGCCGGCACAGGCGATCGTGCCAAAATCTGAGCCTTGAAAATCATGGGGGGAGGAGCGGGCACGGCCGGGACCTGAACTGGGGTGCGACAGGGACCTTGGCTGGGATTACACAGCGCGACCTGTCACCTCACTGATGAGCGGGCAAGTTGCAGCGTGTGTGTTTTAAAATAGAATCATAGAACCATGGAATGGTTTGGATTGGAAGGGACCTTAAAGCTCATCCCGTCCCAACCCCCCTGCCATCAGCAGGGACACCTTCCACTAGACCAGGTTGCTCAAAGCCTCATCCAACCTGGCCGAGAACACTTCCAGGGAGGAGCAGCCACAGCTTCTCTGGCCAACCTGTTCCAGTGTCTGACAAAATACATCTCAGAAGTGCTGGCTCCTGGGGACAAAGCAAAGCACGGACAGAAGAGTCTCACCGTGGAAGTGTAGGGTAGGAGGCCTGAGACTGTCCATCAGAGCTGCCATAACCAGGTGTTCAGAAAGTATTTTAATAACCATAGTTAGACTTTCTCAGTTTTGCTGCCAAACTCTCAATTTTCCTCTGTGCGGGCACAACATTTTCTAGTTCTTGAACCTTCTGTCTGTGTTGTTACTTCCTAAAATCTGTTTGGAGTGTTTCTCTGCATGGGATCTTCGCTCCCTGGATATGATAAAAAATTTGATGTTTTCCTCTATTGCCCCAGGCCTTATCTCTGGCCGTTACTTTTGGGTGGAGCTCAAATTTTCTCTTACTTTAGTTGAACTTATTAAACATGTGGTATTTTTACTGTGGATGTCAGATACAGAAGACAGACTGTACCTGTAAAGCACAGGTACAAACCCGATGAAAGGTGGTTCTTTGTGCGTGCATAGTTTAGCTGGAGAACTTCTTTATTACAAGGTTTTGTGGATCTGAAAGGTTCCAGGGGAAACTGGTTGACTTTATGGAAGTTCTTCCTTTAGGGATGAGCCAGATAAATGCTCTTTGAGAAAGAAAATCCAACGCCAGAGAGACTGCTGGAGGTTATGAGAGCACGCAGGAGACGTCTGTGTACTTGTGGTGGTGTTGCTCTTTGGTTATCAGCATTTGGCTGCCCAGGAGATGACATAAATGGTTATTTAGTTGGGTTTGGCGTGGGTATTTCTAATGGGTATTTCTACTTACACTGAGTTTTGTGGGTAGAGGGTTGGTTTGGGGTTTTTTTGCTTTGCTAGATGATAGCTATAGAATGGGTGGATTTCTCTGCTGGGGAGGACACCAGAACTAAGGTTTTGCAAGGCTTGAATACCGTTATCAAACCACAGAGAGTTTTACAAGCTCTGTTCCTTCCCATTCTTCTGCCTGGAGTTTTAATTCCATATGGAGTGAGTTGTTTTGGGCATGTGTTTCTCGAGTTTCTGGGCTCTGGTTCCACATTTGGAACTTTTGATCCCTCTGTAATGTTGAAGCTGTTTCATTGTTAGGGCTTCCCAGGTTTTCTTTTTCTAAGGAAAAGGCCAAAGAATTGAAAAAAGTGTTAATCTCTGTGAATGGAGCCACTATTCCTCATCTGGCTTGAAACTGGAAGAGGGGAGATGGAAATGAGATGTGAGGAAGAAATTCTTTGCTGTGAGGGTGGTGAGACACTGGAACAGGTTGCCCAAGGAAGCTGTGGATGTCCCCTCCCTGGAAGTGTTGAAGGCCAGGCTGGATGAGGCTTTGAGCAACCTGGTCTAGTGGAAGGTGTCCCTACTGCTGGCAGGGGGGTTGGGACTGGATGAGCTTTAAGATCCCTTCCAATCCAAACCATTTGATGATTCTATGATTTTATGACGATTTTTGTAAGAGTGAGAGAACCTCTGCTTCTTCTCTCTGACTTGCGAGGATTAAACATTGAAACAATACTCTGCTTCAGAAAGGAGTAGTTTTAATTAAAGTAATTGTAGGGGAAAGCCTCTGACAGCAGCTCACCCTAATCACTCTGCTTTCTTTGTAGGGTTTTTGGGGTTTTTTACCATCCCTTTGTAATTCAAAGTAGTGACTTTTCATGCTGTGTTCATAGCTCACAATGAGTAGGATAACATTGTAGTTCTAATTATGTGAAGTAAATTTAAGAACAGGTTTTTTAATCCTATTATTGTTGATATTTAGTTGTAACTTTAATGTCTACTTAAAAAAAAATTCATAAATTGCTTAGGAGCAGACCTGAAAAGTGGAGAGAGCACTTGAGAGGCAGCAAGGAACACGCTCTGGTATTGGGATTTTTTTAGAAAGGAGAGGAAATTATTTTTGATACTGTTTGGGTTTGTTTTGGTTTCCCTCTTATAACACCTAGAAGACACAAGTGTGGATAAATGTATCCACGTGAGGCAAAATTTCACATCAGAGCAAACTGGGCAGAGTTTTCTAGACTTGGCTTAGGAGCAGTTGGCGTCGATGGGAGACCCTGAAGCCCCTCTCATGCTGCTTTTCACATTGTGTTTGTGCTCTGAGGGTTTCCTTTGCAGTCCCAAAGGCCAGCTTAGCTGTCACCTTATAAAAAAACATACTGTGGGTACCTTGTTTGTGGAAAATCATGCCTATCCTATTACAGAAAAGTAAATTCTCTGGGTGATCCTACTTTTTCCTCAGGTTACATGGTGCAGCAAGATGTAATGAGGTTTGGGAATGCATGAGTGTTCTCTAATTAGACTTTGACAATAATGTTTTGTATTTCAGGGCAAATGACCCAGCTTTGTGAACTGATCAATAAAAGTGGAGAACTGCTAGCAAAAAATCTTTCCCATCTGGATACAGTGCTTGGTGCCCTGGATGTGCAGGAACACTCGTTAGGTGTTCTTGCTGTCTTGTAAGTGTTGCTTTCTTTTAATTAAATATCTTGGTATGAAAACTTCAGGCAGCACTCTGAATTCTCAACGAAATATATTCCTTTTGGACATAAATGTTTTCAATCTGCATTTCTTAGACTGGTGCTTAGTTTCCTTCAGTGCTGCACAAGGTAAATTTATATTTTCAAAGGAAATAAAGCTCTGGAGCTTGTAAACACCGTTACTGTCAAATGGTAATATTGGGGATTTGTTTTCCTTAAGGCTCTGTATCCATTTCTCTTGTTTATGCCTTTATTTTTCTGTACATGTTCAGCAAAAAGGTATAAAAAGAGCTTTTAAAACTCGGCTGGCAGGGCATTAGTGTGCTGAACTGGGACCATGAAACAATGCACTTTTTTTTTCCAGTGAACCATAGGTTCTTATCATCGTTTTTGGATGTTTGTCTCCAGACAGCATTGTGCTCTTGCTGCTCTCTGTAGTTTAAAATAATACTTGAATTGCCTTGGTGGTGCTGAGGTCACGTAGGGATATTTGGCCCTGAACTAAGGATATTGGCCCAAACTGTTGTCTCGAGCTGTACATAAACACGGGTGAAGCGTCTACAGGTTCCATTATTACTTTAAATTTATTGTTTGAAGGAAAACTCAGAATTCTAGTACTTGTTCTACTACCCTTTTGAAACAAAATGACTGTAATACATGGAGATAAAGCACTCTGATATCACAGTTCACTGACATCTCAATAAAATGCTGATGGAATTTAGAAAAAGCAGAGTGTAGGTACTGCATTAGCAGGAGAATTGTATCGTGGGGTACATGAAAACAGTAATTAAAACAGGAAGAGGAAGGAAAATAACTGTTTAAAACAAATAATATGTAAAATGTATTATTTGAGGAGATGTTATCAGTGGAGCTTATAGTAAAGTACTTCTGGCTGAAAGTGTGTCCTGGCAAACTTCTGCACTGGGAGAATAAGACTGTGAAGAGACAGGGACGGGATGGCAGCACATGACCTGGGCAGTGCTAAGCTTTGGGGGGAAGGATAGTTCATGATCTCGGTGGGTTTGTACTGTATATTACAGCATGTAACATCTGAAGTACAGGCAGGGTTGGATACTTTCCAACAGCATCAAACAGCATTTCTTCTGCCTGTTTTTGTGACATTTGTAGGGTGTAGAGGTGGAGAGTTTTTACTGCACTCAAATGAGTGTACTCATAGTTCATCTTGCAGAAGCAGCTATGTGTGTAGACACATTGCGTGGAGACCCTTCTGCCTTAGTCCCTTTCCCCATGGAAAACACATTGGAAAAATCAAAACTTCTATTATTTTTTCCTTTGGATTTATTTTAATTTTAATTTTAGTTTGGTCCCCAGCCTATAGGGTGCTAAGGAACCTCCAGAGGTGGAGAGGAACTGGAAGTGAAGAGAAGGAGCTCCCGTTGAGAGAGACACATCTAATAATTCAATAGTTGAGAAATCTTGAGCACATTCGAGCAGGAGATGGCTGCAGGATGGGCAAAAGTGTGGCTCAGTGTTACAGTTCCTCATCATTAGCCAGTATTTATGTGACGATTGTGACTCTTTGGTACACCAGATAAAATGATCTTTGCCATGGTTTGTTCTAAACTGTAGTTACACTAGATTGAGAACGGGGGTGTGCACAGAAAACTTATTTCCAAACGTCGTGCAGCTCTTGGGGAGATCGTGTGCCATCTGTCACAAACGCTTTGCATTTGTTTGTGAGCATCTACAGAGACTTAGTGATGAAAATGAAGCTTTTTTTAATTAATCTTCAAACATTGTGTTAAACCTTTTTTGTTTGTTTGTTTTGTTTTAGGTTTGTGAAGTTTTCTATGCCCAGCATCCCTGACTTCGAAACATTATTCTCACAGGTGCAGCTTTTTATCAGCACTTGTAATGGGGAACACATTAGATACGCAACAGACACTTGTAAGTTAAGCTTATTTCCAGGATTTATATATTTTTGATAGTTTGATATTACTGATTTTTCACTGTATTGAGATTTGTTTGTTTGTTTTTTTACTGTATTCAGTTGCTGGCCTGTGCCACCAGTTAACAAATGCCCTTGTGGAAAGAAAACAGGTGAGCAAATATCATCTCATATATATAAGCTACCTACAAATCCAAGCTCTGAAGAGCTGGGGGATGTTTCATACTCACTTCATAAAGATTTGCCACTGACTTCATGTTAAGTATTTTTGTGCAGCTCTTTACTTGTTAAGTTTACTGAGAGGTAATGGACCTAAGCCCAGATTTTAAGATTTCTTTAAGGAAAATGTAAGGAAGATAAATTTCTGGGGGGAGAGTGACCTAAAATCATGCTCTCTCACGCAAATTAGGAAATCTTTAGTACTGAGAATGTTCTTCAGACAACGTGTGTGTGAGCAGGAGAGAGCTGTAAAAATTATTAGCGCTGGTGAGTCAGTGATGCTCGTTTCAGTGTTGTTCTCACCAGTGTTATATAATGTTCTTCATGAAAGACCTTAAAATGTAAAGGAAACTTGATTAAGAAATATTTGACCAATGGTTTTGTTGCTAAGATACTGACTTTTTTCAGGCTATTTTAGTGAAATCCAGCCTGAAATAGCAATAAAGATCAAGTCTGGTCGAAGCGGAGTGAAGTGAGAGCCTGGCCTTTGCTATTTGGTGGGAGTTTAGATGGCGTCATGGAGTCAAGAAAGGTTTTCTTATCGGTACAAATTACTGTGTTCCTGATGTGGAGCAGAATTGATGACTTTATTTAGTTTATCAGGAGAAGCTGTATAGCCAAGGTTCATTTTATTTTCTGAGAGACTGCAGTATCCTACAAAAAGGGAACCTCAGGTTAACTCCTACTTAATGGAACCTGTCAATTAGTGTTATTTTTCATTTGTAAGTGTCAACATAAGATCCAATGTGCTGCCATCTATGAGAAATTGTCTGAAAGAGATGTAATTTCTGACAGCCCCTGCGAGGAATTAGCATTCTCAGACAAGCCATAGACAAGATGCAGATGAACACAAACCAGCTGACCTCAATACACGCAGATCTCTGCCAGGTAAGGGGAGCATAAGGGCTTTTTATGAGAGGAAAAGCTTATAAAATATCTGTAACCCTTTGAGGATATGCATGTTCACATGCTGCAATGTCAAAATGGCTTTTAACTTATTTTTTTTACAGTAATAAATAATATGATATATTGAAATAAAATCCCCTTCTATTAATTTTAAATGTTCCGTGCATGTCTCCAGATCTTTGGTTTTGTTGATGACTTCTGAAAGTCCTTTGCCATCCCTTCTCTCTGGGCTGGAAGTCACACACAGCTTCTCTTAGGCTGTATAAGTGTAATATCCAGATACTGTTTGCTCCAGTTCAACAAAAGGCGCGTTTGTCTTGGTGTCTTTGGCCTGGATTTGCACTTCTGTCTCCTTCTTGGCTCCTGGGATTTCGGGTTGGACAGGAATGTTTAGTGCAACATTTAGTGCTGCCAGCATGGTAGTCTGGAAGGTCTGGAGTTTCAAGTAGCTTTCTTGGGGTCTAATTTCTTGAGGATTCAGATAAATTCTAACACTTTAAAATTGGTGATAAGAATTGTCCAAATATCTTGATACAATGAATAATCTGTGTTACAGCACTGCAGAAATACATTGGGGTTTTTTTACTCTTGGAGGTGTGTGATTTATTAAATAGTACTAGATGAATTTAGTTTCAACTTCTTCCTCATGGAAATTTGAATGAAAATGGCTAATTGATGAAAACTTGATTTATTTTCTTGTAGCTCTGTTTGTTAGCAAAATGCTTTAAACCTGCCCTCCCGTATCTAGATGTGGACATGATGGATATTTGTAAAGAAAATGGGGCGTATGATGCGAAGCACTTTTTATGTTACTACTACTATGGTGGGATGATATACACTGGGCTAAAGAACTTTGAAAGAGCACTCTACTTTTATGAACAGGTAACTTTAAATAAAATGGTAAGTCTACAGTGTGATCAATTGAAAGTAGCACAGGTAAATAATGCTGAGAGAACATATCATTGAATTGCCACCAAGAATAGCAATAAAAGCTTTGAACCTGATATAAAAGTATAGGCAGTCTCCAATTATTTTAATTCTTAACCTGAAGGATAGAATTCTACCAATAGATGTATACTGCTGTTCACCATTCACATAGGTTTTGGTTTAGCACGTGTGTGCATCATGGTGATCCATAAAAATTGATATGGGTTAGTGTTCACTTCGTAGCTCATTTAGGAAGGGTACAGTCTGAACACAACTCTTCAGTGTATAAAGTGAAGTAACAAGCAAACTGTCTTCAGAGGTGTTTTCCTTTAAGAAGGTCTCTTCCAGCCAAGTAACTATTACACCCTTAAACTATGCAACTCAAAGGTTGATGTTAAATTTATCTCACTGTAAATATTTTTCATATGCCTGCTTATTACTGCTGTCATAGAAACACTTCACGGGCTGACATTCAGAATTGCGTCTTCTCAATAAAAAAATAGTTCTGTGGTTTTGCTAAGACCTTTGCTAATTTTATGGGGGGGGAGTTACACTTCTTCAAAGCTCTTACAAGATTTGCTGCTTTTACTTTCTTTGTGAAAGAAGAGAAGATTGCAAAATTGGGAAAACTTTGTGTGTCTGTGGGAGGGAAATGCTGTCAAACGTGCAAAATAAACTGGTGCAGCATTTTTTTTCTGTGAACAAAGGTGAGCTCTTGAGTAGCTAACGATATTGTAGTAAACTAAAATCCCTTTTCCCTGTTCTGCAGGCCTCTCTCAGCATACTCAATATGAGATCTGATGATGTAATAGCTTTATAAAAACCTCTTTAAGGATCTGTGTAAATCTGAGTTCTACAGGAACTGTGTAATCATTCCTGATAATGAATAGCTAGAGGTGATTTCTAGTGCAGCCTTAGATATATACCAAGGAAAGAAGTTTTCATTTGATCTTAACAGGGTTATTTTAAGGTAGGCATCACTGTAACATGGTATATTTTGAGTAGCTTGTATAGAATTTACTTGTGTAGGACATTTTTGGATAATTAATTTTGACAGAAGTTAGTTAAGCCTTAATGCTCAAAGGTGAATTTCATATGTCACTGTATCCTTTCTGCATGCAGCTTTAAACTGAGATTTTTTTTGTTAATGCAGTAGCTACCAGGATCTACCAGTAATTACACTAAATTTCTATTCCATTTCTTTTTCTTGCATAGGCAATAACTACTCCAGCCATGGCAGTCAGTCATATTATGTTGGAATCATATAAAAAGTATATTCTAGTTTCTTTGATACTACTTGGCAAAGTTCAGCAGCTACCAAAATACACTTCCCAGATAGTTGGTAGATTCATTAAGGTAAGTCTTGCAAATATAACTAAATAATAGAACAACAAATCTGAGTTTGTAATTATTATTTTTAAAATTTTTTTAACTCTCATTTGATGGCACTGTTTAACATTGCAGATCATGGGAAATGATGCACAGTGTGTCAGAGCAGAACCTCTTGCTGCCTTACTAGTGCACAATAGCTAAAGATTGTCTGGCAACTTCTATGTCTATTAAAAACAAACTGCATTCTTCATATTGGCGATACAGGTTCATAGAATCATAGAATCACAGACTGGTTTGGGTTGGGAGGGACCTTAAAGCTCATCCAGTTCCAACCCCCCTGCCAGCAGCAGGGACATCTTCCACTAGACCAGGTTGCTCAAAGCCTCATCCAACCTGGCCTTCAACACTTCCAGGGAGGAGCAGCCACAGCTTCTCTGGCAAATCTGTTCCACTGTCTCACCACCCTCACAGTGAAGAACTTCTTCCTAATATCTAATCTAAACCTCCCCTCTTTCAGTTTAAACCCATTTCCCCTTGTTCTGTCATTAGTTGCCCTTATGAAAAGTCCCTCCCCAGCTTTCTTGTAGCCCCTTCAGGTACTGGGAGGCCGCTATAAGATCTCCCTGGAGCCTTCTCTTCTCCAGGCTGAACAGCCCCAACTCTCTCAGCCTGTCTTCATAGGAGAGCTGCTCCAGCCCTTGGATCATCCTGGTGGCCCTTCTCTGGACTTGTTCTAACTGGTCCAGGTCTTTCTTATGTTGGGGGCTCCAGAACTGGATGCAGTACTCCAGGTGGGGCCTTACGAGAGCGGAGTAGAGGGGCAGAATCACCTCCCTCAACCTGCTGGACACGCTTCTCTTGATGCAGCCCAGGATACGGTTATTTGCCTTCTGGGCTGCAAGTGCACATTGTCTGCTTGTGTTCAGCTTCTCAAACTTAACCCTAAAGCTTTTGCAAATTTGAACAGTACTTACCAATATTCTCTTCACTGATGCTGCGTATCCCTTGATAACGTTTTACATTAGAACTCGAACAAGACTTGGGTTTCACTCAGCTTTCAATATGCAGTGTCCTTCTTGTAAAAATATTCAACCTGTAACTTCATTTAGTTAAAGTACAAAATGCTAAATAGTTTATTCCAGAACTCCAGCTTTATAAAGAATAAAACCTTCTGAAAAAGCTGCAAGTTTGGAGTCTATAAGCATTCTGATTAGGAGGTGTAGGGTGGAAGCTGCTAGCGAGAGAGTTCTGATCCTAAGGAAATAACATGCTGTTAAAAGTTAGTTAGTTCTTACTTAACACTGAGTTTGTTGATTTGTGACCAAAATTTTAAAGGGTTCCAAAAATCTTCTTCTAACTTCAGTTACTAATAAGCAAGTTCAAACAATTGCCATTTTAAAGTAATTTAGGTGAACTAATCTTCACCCTCTGATTCTGTCCGTGCTCTGATTCCTTGTGGTCAAGGATGACAGTGTCTTAGAGGGTAGAACAAATACAAAGGAGGAGCAGTGACTGTCGATATGCTACTTACCTTGAATTCAGTTTACTTCATATGCTGGTCAGCTAATGGACTTTTTCTTGCTCTCCCAGAACTAGAATTGTCTGACAGAGATCCTTGAATGATGTTTACTAAATCTTAATGGCAGTAATACAGATTTAGTGTATCGGGATCTATTATTGCCACAAAGCCGTATATGGGCATCACATGTTTTTTTTCATGAGATGCTTGAGCTATTTAAATTTACTTTTATGCCTGCATAGCTTCTAATGTTGAAGCAGTGAATAGATTTTTGTGAGGCTGGTTGAACACTGTGGTTTAAGAAGGGTTTTCGTTCTTCTAATTGCAGCCCCTTAGCAATGCTTACCATGAATTAGCACAAGTTTATTCAACCAATAAACCCTCAGAGCTTCGAAATCTGGTGAACAAACACAGTGAAACATTCACAAGGGATAACAATATGGGGCTGGTTAAGCAATGCTTGTCATCTCTCTACAAAAAGAATATTCAGAGGCTAACCAAGGTAAGATGTGGACGTTTTGTTTTGTTGAGAAATTGGGATTAGTTTTTTCTCAAAGAGTGTATTTCTGAAATGTATTCAACTCAAAGCAAAATGATAATGTAGTACTGTCATGGAGAAATTACTAAACCAGATTTGTGTCTCTGAAACAAATGAGACTAAAATGCTGTAAATGGCTACTTAGGCATTATTTAAAAGGTGGTTCAATTTGTCCATCTGTCAGAGGGGTTTGCCCATGAGATTTTCTCACGTACTCAGAGTTGTGAGTGCTGCTACCCAATGATCTTCATCTCTATTAAAAAATTAAGAAACATGAATTTCACAGGTGAAACATGAATTTCAGTCTTCTCATTAGAGAAGACTGAGTGAATAGGACAGAGTTTGGAAGTGTCTGAAGTAAAAGGAAAACCAGAAGTGGCGGAGTGATGTGCTCCTTCAGCTGAGAGATTAATCCTTCAAGATGATCAGGGGAAAGCTCTTTTTTGGCAAGCTCAAATGATGTTTGCAGTAGAACTAACCTCAGAAGGAATGCAATAGATGCATCCCTTGAAGGAAATTCAAGGGATGGACAGTCACTTTATTCGTGTAAAAAGGTGAGGGAAGAGGTTGGACATGGTCAGGACTGTGTCTGGGTTAAAAAGGAATTGCAGAAGTGGAGCAATGACTCCCTTAGTTTGGTCTGTGTACATGGCACAGCGTCACAAATTGGTAGCTGTGGAGGAAGAACTGACTCCGCTTTCATGGTGCTTTTATAAGTAATAACTATGTGAGCCACTTGTTTCTTCCTCTTGGACTTCAACAATAAGATTGCATAGGCCAGGAAGAATTTCTAGGGAAAGTTCTCAGGGTCTAGTTTTAACTGTTTAATACTTTCTAAATTTCAGACATTTTTAACATTGTCATTACAAGACATGGCAAGTCGAGTGCAGTTGTCGGGGCCCCAAGAAGCTGAAAAATACGTCCTCCACATGGTAAGACTTGTTACTTGGCTAAACTGTTCCAATTTAAAACCTGATCCAGTTTTAAGACTCTCTAAGTGGATCGGCAGTGCATGTTCTGAGTGGCTGAAGAATGGTTCCTTTTCAGAGGGAAGGAAATACTGTCAGTCTGCTGTGGAGTTTAGACTGTTCTCAGAACAATCTTAAGGATATCCTCTGCCTCAGATAAGGCATGCATCATTCATCTTTGGGAAGCTGTTAGGAAATAAAAAGCAAACAAGTTAAAGATGATTCCACAAAGAGTCTGTGTATTTAGTTACCTGAAATTTTGTTCTTAGGGATACCTTACATTACACTCTCTCTTGTTACAGATAGAAGATGGTGAAATCTTTGCGAGTATTAATCAGAAAGATGGTATGGTCTGTTTCCACGATAATCCTGAAAAATACAACAATCCAGCTATGCTTCATAACATTGATCAGGAGGTAAATTTTTAAGATATTAACTGCTTTTGGAATTCATACTGAGGAACCTTAGTATGTAGTCAGATAACTGCTGGGAGAAGCCAGAGTAGGTAACTTACATGTAGAGATTTGGGACTATGAATCATTATTTGACTGTTTCACAGTAGTGGTATTTAAAGGTTTTAGATTGATAGTCAGTTACTGTCAGTGTGTTCCCTGTTGTATCTTCTGTACAGCTTGAGATGTTTCAGTAGAGTGACTGCTTAATGTTGGTGATACAAAGTTCCTTGAATTGATTGAATTAGAAAGATTGTTTTTAGAGTTTTAGTCTTCAAGGATCACTTCCACTGGATGTAGATAACCTGCCTGTAGGTTGAGATGGTTGACCCTCATGGGACTGTCTATCAGTGGCCCTAAAAAGATTGTTAGGAAAATATGGATCAAAATAAGGGAATAAAAAAATGGTCTGACACTTTTGTTTGGGAGAGGAGGGATGAGGACAATTTGACATGGAACTTTTGTGATGGCAAAAGTTACTGGTTCTACCTAGCACAGCCCATGATATATATTGAAGATCATGTTCAAGCTGGACAAAGTAATCAACTTAATATATATTTTTAAGATGCTGAAATGTATAGAGCTTGATGAACGACTGAAAGCCATGGATCAAGAGATCACTGTGAACCCTCAGTTTGTGCAGAAGGTAATTGATTTAGTGTCTTATAAGAGTATGTAAGAGATTCAGTGCAGGGAGAATGTGTTGCACTGAATGTCAGTATTTACAGTGTTAATAATTACATGTTATTTCTAATAATATGTGCATAAACATCAGGCTTTAAAACAAAAAGGAAGTGCATGTTATTTCATATGCACTTTATTTTCCTACCTGTTAACTTCAAAGAACTGTCTGCCTCAAAGGTAAACCTTCAGACCTATTTTTGAAAAGAAATAAACTCTCTCCCTTCCAGAGTATGGGCTCTCAAGAAGATGACTCAGGGACCAAACCATCCAGTTATTCCTGAAATTAATGTTGCTCACCACTCCGCTTTCAAGTAAAAGCTTATGAAAGAATCACGCCTGGAATAGGGCATTGAGGAGTTCGGCGAAGAGAGCAGAGAGAACTGAGCTTTGCTTTTCACCTGGACATTAAGAAATTAAAAGAACACCCTCTCAGTACTGTATAATATCAGAAATATTCTCTGCAAAGAAAAAGGAAATCTCAAAAGAAACTTAAAAAGTCTGTTGTGGATTTATTTATCTTCAGATTAACATCGTTAATGCATTAAATAATCTACCTTTTGTTTTAAAGGGTTTGAATGTTGCTGTGTTTCTGTAGCAGTCATTTTTCTCTTCTGCAAAAGAAAAAAAAAAGTGTTATTCAGGGAAGAATACAAACTAGTGTTGGTTCACTTACAAGATAATTACTGGTTCATTATTCTGTATTTAAAGTTGGCTCAAAGTGCAGTTTTATCATATGTTATGGTGGGGGGAGAGGGGTGGAGTTGCCGTAAATTCTCTACATTCTGATTTGCATATGCCCGCTGTAGCCGGCTGCTGTCTATGAAATGATGAAATATGAAGTGTTCTTCCCAAAAGGATGAGCATATTAACGAATCCTTGTACAACAGTTCTGCTGACAAGCAGAAATCTCACTCTAGGGAATCCATACCTGCCAGCTATTTATGATTTTAAGTTTCTGGTACAAAATATCTCCTAATAATACTTGCTCTTAGATCAAACTTATTAAACAAAAGGATATTTGGAAGACCTTGGTGTTCTGGAGGATGCTGGATATGAAGTTGTTTACACTGAAAGAAATTAAATTTTTTCTTCCTATACAGTTGGCATGAAGGTATTTAACAGGCTGATACTTTTTGTGGTGGAAATAAGTGAAGGCCATGCTATAGATCTTTGTTTCCAAAGAAAATAATTCTATATGGAACATAAATAGAATTCTGTACAGCTCTCAAAATGCAGGATTTTGTTTGGAGATAACATGCTGGAATGCTATCTGGTTTTTAATTCACTATTTTAAATGGAAGAACTTTGTTGTTAGCTTCTTCAAGTGCTTCACCCCATAAAGCAACAGGCTCTTTAACTTTCTCTAGCTCTCACGTATCTGAAGATTCTCACTGTTAAAAACACCTTTGAAACACTTTGTGTCAATGCAAATCTGCTATCAGGCATAAATAAACCTGTCATCAAGTCAGAATGTGAGAAGCTCAGCATCCAGTGCTTCCTACTTAAACGCCTGACTAGGAGCTGCTTGCTGCTGCTAACCTGCCAGCTTTTTTTTCAGGAGCCTAAGTGGGAGCTGAGCATTTCTGGCTCTTGCTGTGTGAAGCTTCTGTGTATTGAGGTCACCCATGGTTGAAAATATTCCATTTGTGCTTCCAGTGCTGATACAGAACTGTTGGGAGTTTTCACTTAAAATTGGTGTCTTAATTCTAGCAGAGCCTCTGCGCCAGTGGTATGTGCTTTCTTACTAGAAGAGAAGTGTCCCCAGGTTGTTCTCTAGGTGGTGAATGATGTTTTTAAAAGTCTAAAATAGCAGTTTAGTGTTGAACACAGCATAGGTCCATAGCTTTAGTAGCTCACCACTGAGTACTTGTGCTTCCTATTATTATAGAGACTTCCATATTTGAAGGCAACTCTTAGACCTGATCTTAAAGCAAAATCTTGGGGGTTTTTCATAACTTGCCTTACCAGTCTTGCAATTAAAGATATTTATGGTTTTTGAAGTGTTTTTTTTTTTTTTTTCCCTAGTTAATCCTGCAGTGATTTCAATGCTGAACATGCTGATGCAATTTTCCTCTCGGGTACTGTGGAAGTGTTAAATTAGTAGATTAGTAATGCTGTGGGCTCAAGCACAAAGCTGGGTTGTTGAAGTGTTTACAACCATGTGCGGTAGTCACGGAAAGGACTGCAAATGACTAACCCCAAACTGCCACCTAGACAAAAATGCGGATGGCTCGCCTGTCGTTGCCAAGGGCTCACTTGCCAGAGGGAGAATGTATGCAGGGTGCTTTCATGAAGTTGGAGAAGAACCAGAAATACCCACTTTGCAATGGCTTCAGCTTTTATAGTTCCTATTATCGAGTGTGGACTTTCCT